GAAAAGTTGCATGCAATAATGCATGAAGTGTAGATGTGGCTGAGGTTCATGAATTTTTGTAGCCCATTCAGTGAGGTTTTAAGCCACGAAATTTCAACCATAACTCACTAGATATGTTAAGTTTCTAAGGTATTTTTCCTAAGATTTATGGTTGGGTTTAAGACCATTGTTTAAGCAAGATAAAAATAGTGATCACAGAAAAAGAGCTGTATGCGCAACCTTTTTGTAAAATCTGCCAAAAATCGGATATTTAATATTTTACAGTGAGACCAATTGGGTTAGAAAGTTAACTCGTGGAACTAACCAATACAAAAAGAATATCATGATTTGGTTAAGAAATGACTGAGTTATGACTGTTCAAAGTCGAACAAAGTAATCTGGCAGATTGCATGTTTGCTTGTGTGCATTATTAGGGTATTTCAACAAGAACATCATGCATGTCTTTGGTAAGATCCGATTTCTAACACATGCATGGAATGAATGAGGATTCAATATGTACTAGAAATGGTTTAAATGCTTTTGGTCATGCATGAACATTAAAGAGATGGAGAAGAACATGAAATATTAGATTTTGATGTCACATGATCATATGTGCATCTTTTTCACTCCTTGCATGGGTTTGATCCCGGATTTTCACCATTTCAAACACATGCATTGTGTTATGGTGAGAATCTACAAACCACAAGGGGAGAATAAAGATTTCTAGCCATGGAAAGGCATAGAATCCTAAAAGAAGAGAAAACTAAGAAGGAAAAGAAGTAGAATCATCAAACTATGGAAGAAGATGATGTTGTTTACCTTGGTTATGATCTTGAGAGAAGTAAGAACACTTCAAGGTCTTCAAAGTCTTGAAATTTGGCAGAGAAATGAGAGAAATTTCGTGAGTTTAGAGAGAGAGAGGAAGAGGGTGAAGTGTGTGAAGAGAGTGAAGTGAGAAGAGTGAAGAGAGAAGAGGTGGAGTGTGGGTTTGAGTTTAATCATGAGTTTTGGGAAGAGAGTGCATGGGGAGAGGGGAGATGGCCAGATTTTTGAGGCATTAAAGCCTCCTCTCTCCTAAATTCAAATTTTTATAAAAATCCCTCCTTAATTTTTATAAAAATCTAATTTTTATAAAAATCTAATTTTTATAAAAGTGATTCTTTAAGCAATTTTTGATTTATTTAAAAATCTTGTTTTTAACTAATAAATTATGATTAATACTTGTAATTTATATTTCTATTTCATTGGTATAATCCATAATTTGATTAATAAAATTTGATATTAGAAAGTTTATAGCCAAATTTTATAAAGTTTTTAAGCTTTAAGATTTATAAATTTGGATTTTTGGCTGTTTAGAGTTTTTGGAACATTGATTGATATTCAACAACATGTTGAAGTATAATTAGAATGTTTTAATTTATTTTTAGAGTTTTATACCCTATTTCAATTATAACAAAGCTTGAAGCTTTATTCTAATTATAGTATTGGCATTTCCTATTGTAGCTAAGCAACTTACTAGAATTGTAAGTATCAAGTATATTAGTCCTAGACCTTAGTTGGATCCTAGTTTATGCAAGATTTTTGACCTAATTTATACTACTAGGTCATGGCATGTTGTGCATGAATGGTTATTATAAAGATGCATGAGTCCAAGAATGACCTGAATTGACAGTTGTCACAGGAATTGAGATAGATCCACGACACTTTTCATGTGTCGCAGTTGAAGAAGTGTATAGTCGATGAGTCAGCAGTGGTTCCACTAGAGAACATTTAGGTGGATGCGAGCGTGAGTTATGCTGAGAGACCAGTGGCCATCAGGGATCGGAAGATCAAGGTTCTGAGGAACAAGGAGGAACCTACGGTGTTGGTTCAGTGGCAACCCCGGAAGGAATCGGAAATGACTTGGGAGCCGGAACGTGAGAGGCGGGAGCAGCATCCGGAACTATTTTCAGAGTAAGACTTCGAGGGCGAAGTCTGATTCTAGTAGGGGAGAATTGTAACAGCCCGGAATTTCAAGTATTGTTAAAATTATATTTTTGGGGTGTTTTAAGGGGGGACTCGGCGAGTTGGAGCCAGACTCGCCGAGTAAGATCGCAGACCTGGTCGCGGGTTCGCGACTGGACTCGACGAGTCCAGATAGGGACTCGGCGAGTCTGCGCTGTTTAGCGAAAACCCTAGCCGTTTAGGCTTGGGACGTATAAAGGGGACTTATTGGCCGTCATTGTTCGTTTTAGCCTTCTGGGAGGAACCCTAAACCGATTGTGTGCATCTGGAGCAAGGCTAAAGGCCATTGGTGATTTTGAAAGAGTTGTTGTGCAAGGAAGAGAAGGGCTTGGTTAAAGGAACAGCAAGGGAATCACATTCTGAGGATTGGGGACACAGAGAGCACATTATCCAGGTAAGAATTCGTGTATACTCTGCTATGGTGATGTATTTAGAGGATTAGGGTTTATGGAACCCTTTTTGTGGATAGATTGAATGTTACCCTTGTTCCCCAAACGATTGTAACCCTGTATGAGGACCCTTGGATGTCCAGAATGTCCCATATCTGTGCATTTCGGGAATTGGTGAAGGTTTTGGATTGAAATCCTTATGCCTTAGGTCAAACATGTGAATTATAAGTCTTGGGGTGTAGCATGAGCACCGAAATGAGGACCATACATAATGGATCAGTCTAGGAAGGCCAGACCTATGAATGGTCGGAGCAGTTCTGACCTTAGGGAGCAGTTTGAGCGGCTGCATGGCATGGACTCGCCGAGTCAAATGAGCAGACTCGGCGAGTAGCTTGAAGAATAACTGGGACTCGTCGAGTTGTTCCTCAGACTCGACGAGTGGAGTCGGGGTGGCCCCGCGATTCTTCCAGGAGTAACTCGTCGAGCCAAGGAGGATACTCGATGAGTAGAAGGGAAACCTTAGAGGACTGGAGGACGACTAGACTCGCCGAGTCGCCAGAGTACTCGCCGAGTCCGGTCGAGTTGACCGTGGACCGTTGACCAGAGTTGACCCATGTGTGATTTCTTAGGGTCAGTTAACGTGGAAGATAAAAGTATTAATAAGAGATATATGATGTCATAGGGAGCTTGTAGCTCGGCGGATCAAGTACGAGGGATTTCAGGAGTTGCTAACTTTCAGTATCCGCGAGGTGAGTCTTCTCACTATACTGTACCCGGAAGGGTTTGACTGTGTGACCGGAAGGTCGGATATGATATGTGGTATACGTGCTATATGTGGTAAGATAATTGCTATGCGTGCTATGTATGTTTATATGGGCCGGAAGGCATTATGTTATGTGACCGAAAGGTCGGATATGATATATGATATATGTGCTATATGTGTTAGGATAAATGTATTATGTGCTGTGTATGTTTATGGGCCGGAAGGCAATATGTTATGGGCCGGAAGGCAATAAGTTATGGGCCGGAAGGCGATTATGTTACGGGCCAGAAGGCGTTGTGTTGTGGACCAGAAGGTCAGGGCCTGGAAAGGCGTATATGCGTAAGTTGTATATCGGGGAACTCACTAAGCTTCGTGCTTACAGTGTTTTGTGTTATGTTGTTTTCAGGTTCTTTCAGTAACACGGGACGGCACCGGCTCGATTGTGCACACCAGAGAAAGAGTTATAATTTGGAGGATCCTGGTTTTCTATTCAAGTGAAAATGAAACTATGTTTTGTAATTCAATTATGAATGAGATTTTAAACAAGTTTTTATTATTAAAATGATAATTTTAAATGAAAATTTTGTCTTGAAATTTACGGTGTTACAATTCAGTTACGGCAGACTCTTCTGGCTATTATTCCTCGACTGTTCAAAGTTGTGAAGACTGTGAAGCCTACTTAATAGAAATAATCTGTCGCTTCTTTTGATGCAAAGGGGGAGATTGTTGGGTTTATAGTGTTGCATCATGGGCTCGGTCATTAGCCCAGTTTTGGTATCCGGTTTGGGCTTGTCCAACTGTGATTGTTTTTATTCTAGGGTTTTAGTATTTAAGGTGCATACATGCATCCTTAGTAAGTAACGCTTTCATAATTTTCTTATGATAAGTACTGTAAACCCTAGCTCGCCTATACAGTGGAAGTTCTTTATCGAGCTCTGCTGAGTCGTGACTATATTTGAATCATAAACTTCATATTGATTCCATATTGTGTTCTTAATTGTATTGTGATTGAATTGTTTGTTCTTTATCAATATACATGTGAAAGATCTAAACGATCTAGAGATTCATTCTCATCAATCAGAATGCATGTACAGGTTGAAACAACCATTATAGCAGATGTTCGTTTCAAGTGAGTGGTCAAATTATGCTTGGGCCAAAAAGTCGGATGGAATAACTATTAAGAAGATTGTCATGGATGTAGTTCATTTTTGGGCTAGTGTGGTTTATTCAATTAAAACCACAAAGAAAGGAAAAGATTGCTAATTTTTTGATGGTGATGTGGCTCTTACAAGGAAATATGGGACATTATTGATGATAAATGAGAACTATGACTTCATGTAATGACTTATTTCTTGAATTTGTGTTATAGGTGGTGCCCCAATGTTTCCTGACATCCAGAGATAAAAATAGGGTTGTATAGGTGCATGGAAAGACTCTTTGATCAAGAAACTACTGAAAATGTTGATTATAACTTTAAGTACAAGAGAGGGTTGTTTAGAGATAATGCTTCTTTGACATCATACCATAAACAACCTCATTGTATATACTAAAATTGTAATTATACGTACACTTTTTTCATCATCATTAAATAATATACTAATTTCTTTTTTCTTTTATTTATTTAGTTGAGTGGTGGGATAATTTTGGAGAGAGTGTTCCAGTGATGTCAATAGCGAGCATATCGACTTCTATAACATTTTGTGAGGCAAGGCGTTTAAGGGTCACTATGGGCTCAATAAGACTGCATAGCGACGTAGTCACATTCTTGATTTTTTTCCTTGTTTTTCTTTTTTTTTTTTTTTTTAAATATGGCATATATAGGCCCGTTTTAGGGTTTTTTTAGTTGACTAAGTCAAAGAAGGATCATGCGCTCTCAGCCTTTCACTCGCTTCTCTCGACTAACCTCCCTTCCGCTTCTTCATCGATCACCATCTCCTTCCTTTCAACCTTCGATTTCTCCTGAAATCAAATTACTCCTCACTTCTGACAACCGACCTGCACCGACTCTTCTCACCTGCACCAACTCTTCTCTCCATCTCAGCTTCACAGGTTATTTTTTTTGTGTTTTTTTACAAATTAGTTTTATACTCTGTTTTCTTTCTTTGTTTGTTGTAAATGTATACCTTATTGGTTTATAAACTACACTCTTAGACCATGTGTATAATCATATGTATATGTATGTATTTAATCAGTTATGGCTATTATGCATTTATTCAGTAAGTCATTAATATCACTCAAATGTGTAACAATGTAACTTAATTCATATACTTTATACTTATCTATGATTTGTTTGTGCAATAGATATGTCTAGTAATGATCCGAGATGGGGTTACGGGAAACCAATTGAAGGAAAGGGTAATGCTTTGGTGATATGTGATTTTTGGAATTTCCTTTCCAAGGGTAGGATTACAAGACACAAGCATCACCTTGTTGGTGATTCCCCCCAAGTAAAAAAATGTACCAAAGTTCTAGTTGAAGTGCAGAAATGTTTTAAAGATGAATTTTAGAAAAAGAAACAAGATAAAGAAGAGTGAACAAATACCCCGCTTTGATGATGCCTTTGTCGATATAAACGATAAAGACGAAGAAGCTACAACTAATATTGACTTTTTCCAATGGAAAAGCAAGAGGCCCATGTCGTCCAGTAGCTCAACTGTAAACACTAAGAACCCTACAAAAGGGCCTTTGGATGTGATGTACCCACCATCTAAGATAACAAGGACGAGAAAGGGGGAACTTGGTTGGAACCTTTGAACATAAAGCAATCAACAAAAAGTAAAGACTTGACGTGGTTCAAAAGATATGTCGTTGGATGTATGATGTTGGTATTCCATTCAATGTAGTGAAGTCTGATAGTTTTGGGCTCGCAATTGAACTAGTTGATGTACATGGTTGCGGTATGAACCCCCAAGCTATCATGAGGTATGTGTTTCTATGTTGAAGTTGGAGATGGAGCACACAAAAAACTATTGACTATAAATGAGGCGGAGAAGAAATTATACGAATGTTCTTTGATGGCGGGCGGTTGGAGGGACCGAAATGGAAGATCACTTACTAACTTTCTAGTAAATACTCCACAAGGAAGTATGTTTATAGAATTGGTAGACGCTTTTGCTTGTTCTCATACGGTATGCTATTTTTTTTTCCCTTTTTATGCTGTTATTTCCTTTTTTTCTGTTTTATATGTGGTTTTTTTCCTGTTATTTCCTGTTTTTTTCTTCTGTTTTATATATCGTTTTTAATGCTGTTTTTCCATGTTTCTAATTCTAACAAGTGAATACTTATTCAAATTGTTTGACCACTTCAAAAAAAAACATGTCCGAAAGATGTGGTTCAAATTCTAACGGATAGTGCTATCAATAATGTTTTAGCCGGTTGACGTGTGGAAGAAAAATATCCACATACTTATTGGACTCTGTGTGTGGTGCATTGCATCGATTTGATGCTTGAGGACATCTTTAGAACTTTTCATCTTAAAAAGACCTTTGATAAAGCAATTGCAGTCAATAGTTACATCTACAACCGCGCCTTACTCTTGAATATGATGAGAGATTTCATGGGACAAAGAGATATGGTTAGAATCTCAAAGACCTGGTTTACAACCACCTTCATAACTTTGAATTGCTTCAGAAATCACGAGAAAAATTTGAAGATGTTTACATCTAAAGCATGGAACAAAAGCAAGTTCTCGGGCGAGGCGGGAGGGGGAGATCAAACGGCAAACACTATATTTTCTCCTAATTTTTGGGACAATATAAATATTGCGGTCAAAGTTGGTGAGCCTTTATTAACGGTGCTTTAATTGGTAGATAGTGAAAAAAAGCCTCCTATGGGATGCATCTATGAAGCCATGGATAGAGGCATAGAGCAAAAGAAAGGATTGCATCTTCTTTCAACAACAAAAAAGACAAGTATAAACAAAATTTTGAAATAATTGACAACAAGTGGAATTGTCAACTACACCAAGATTTTCATGCGGCCGGCCACTATTTGAAACCGTGATTGTATTACAATAACCCGAGCGAGGAAGATGATGGTGAGGTGATTAAGGGGTTGATGGCATGCATACATAAGTTGTCATTGTCGGAAGAGGAGGAGTTGAAGATTCACACCGAGCTCCTTATATATAGAGGTTCCGAAGGACTTTTTTGGGATTCCGATGGCTAAAAGAATAAGACCAACGCTTTTACCAGCATAGTAGTGGATGCAATTTGAATCATCGGCACCGACACTTAAAAAGTTTTCCATTAAGGTGTTAAATCTTACATGTAGCTCATCGGGATGTGAACGTAACTTGAGCGTATTTGAACAAGTAGCTCATTGTTTTTAAAATAATTAGAAATATATAAATATATTTGTTTTAATAATACTTACTAATGTTTTTTTTTTTGTATCTCTATTCCAAAAAAAGAAACCAACTTGAATTGCTAAAACTAAATGATTTAGTTTACATAAAATATAATCGGGCTTTAAGAAGGCGGTATGATATGCGTGATACGATTGACCCGATCATTTTAGACAACTCGAACGTTCAAGATCTGAATGATTGGTTGGAGGGGGAAGAAAATGCTCTTGTGTTTGAGGGTGATAACTTGACATGGGGTATAGTTGCGGAGGTTATGGGTGTGGATGAGGAGCCTTATGCTACAAGAAGAAAGAGTAGAAGGAAAGAGGGTGTTGAGTCTATCTCACAATCTAGAGGACAATAATTTATAGATGAAGATGAAGAGGAAAATGATGTTTGAGCTTATAAAGAGGTTGTTGAAGAAGAAGCTGATGATCAGCCCATATACGAGGAGTTGGATGATTTATGAATCATATTTTAGAGTCTAAGATTAACACTTGTTTTTTTGGTGGTATGCAGGTTTTAGAACTTATTTGAGTTAATAGTCTTGGGGTTTTTAGCTTATTTATTAGTTATAATTACTAATTAGGTGAAGGTAAAAGTAGTATAAATCTTTTAATAGGTATTATCTAAAAATGAAATAGTCATCGCTATTTCATCGCTATCGCTACATAGTTTATAGGTAAGTTGTTGCTATGATCTCGCTACGCCATCAATAACACTAGAGTTTCCCCGAACTCATGATGTTCGCAATAAAAATATTGGGTCGAACTTGTTCCACTTCAGCTTGCGAACATAATTGAATAACTTGGTGTACATTATGTACGACAAGATGTTGAAGAAAAAGTTTGTCTTAAAGAATAAGCTAGGAGAAAGTGACAATCCCTTACTTGTTGAGGAAGTTCCTTCTAGTGATGAATGGTTAGCCGACCGAAGTGAGGAAGATGATGAGAATGGTGGAGAAGTTGGAACACATGAAGAAATTGCAATGGAAGTTGGAACAGATGCAAGTCTAGATCAAAGAGGAGGAAGGTCGTTGAACTAAATTTGGTTGATAAAGATGACGAGTTTTATGGTAATATGGAAGACGATGATGCTCATCATTTATGTTGATTTGGCTTGGTTTGAATATTATTATGCTTTTGTTTTTACTAATTTGGCTTGATTTAAAGACTAATATGAATTTTAATATCTTTTTATTTTTGGGATGAAGACATTAAGGAAGACTTGTATGCTCGAATTTGGATTTTTTTGTGGTTTTTTTTACCTAAAGTCTTGAATCATATAGTGATTTTTGGTGAATGTTAGAATTCTGCACAACAACTTTTCCCCATCTTGTGAGAGCTATAGCTGCTAATCCTGGTAGAATTGGAAGATGTTCCTATCTCATGAAGTTCTAGGAAATCGAATTTAGTTTCCAGAATGTCTAATGTCATCCAAATTGGAGCTGTAGATTCGATTTTATGACTAAAACACTAAACGGGGGTCAGGCAGGGAAAATATAAAAATTAATATAAAAGTTAGAATAAAATTGTATTTTTGAAACATATACTTTATTTGTTAAGTGAATGTTATGTGTGGTGTTTAGGTGGAGCCTTGAGAAATTCAAGTAAATTCAAGACTTGGAATAGAAGGAAGATTTCATCAAGGCTAAAGGTGAGTTCAAGTAAGTTCAAGATTTCATAGTTTTAACTCACTAAGGTTGCATGATTGAAACGTGCAATCCATAGATGGTGATTTGATTCACTCTAGGATGACCATGTCATTACTTGTGCTTGATGATGATATGATATTTATAATGCTAATATATGCTTTGTGCTAATGCCATGTTATGACCTAATTGCTATGTTGCTTACACTTTTGATGAACTTGATGTATATAGCATGCTACCTTTAGTTGCTCTAAATATGATGTATGGTTATGTTTTGATGTGTTGGTTATGAATCCATTGCATGTTTAATACACTTTTATATGGTATGCAGTACATGACTTGATTAATGTATAAATGACATTGCGGGGTTATGCGTAGAGGGTTTGGGTAGTTCATGATCTTTGCCTAAAATCTTATCCAAATCGTTAAGGGTGCCTACTAGGTTGAAAGAGTGCCTATAGGAAGAGCTATAGCCACAACAGTTGTTAGTTTCCGGTTTTTCTAGATGACCGTGTGATACATGCTTTGCGGGCACTTTCGTGTTCATGGGTTGGAGTTATGTTGGTCCCTCATTCACGGCGAACGCAAACATCACGTGGGAATCGTGAGGTGTATCGGTGGAATTGGCACCGTTTATACCGATCCTGAACGACACCGCGGGGTACTTGTACTTTGGAAAGTCGATGTAGCGAAAGTGAAGTCACGAGGTTGGTGTTTCGGGTGGAAGTCATGAGCCACTTAGAGCATTCGGCTGGCCGTGCACACAAGTAGCAAACGAGGTGTTTCTCTTGGGTTAGGTAGCACTAAGAGACACTTTTCTATCAATCGGTTGGATAGATGTAATAAAAGTTTGAACATGTAACAAAAGGTTGGTTGCATATTAAAAGGTTGAATACATAACATAGGTTGGTTGTATATTAAAAGGTTGAATATATAACAAAGGTTGGTTGTATATTAAAAGGTTGAATATGTAACAAAAGGTTTGTCATTAATAAAAGGTTGAACATTTAAAGGCTGCTTATATATTAACGTGATTAATAATATGTTATGCAGTTTCTTATGTGGTATTTGGTTGATCATATATGTTATGCATGTATGCGGTTGAATAATTATGATATGCGGTTGTTTTCGAAGTGGTATCTGTCTATCATCTTTATGCTTCATCATAAAATGAATGATTGACCCATTTGGGGTTTGTATGTTTTATATGCAACTTTATGAACTCACTCAGTAGGAGCTGACTCTTGTATCTTTTCTCTTTTGTGTCTTATGATTGGTACAGGCAGTTTAGAAGATTGGCCTTAGTGAGAGGGGTTCTTATGGGTAGTAGATTTATATTAGCGATACCACTCTTGGACACGTTTTTGATTATTTACTTTAAAAATACTTTTGTTTACAGTTTAATGGTTTGGAATTATGTTTGAATTTTTGAAGTAACGTTGTGGTTTTGAAAATGTTTTGATAAAAAAAACTAAGTCTACCGATAAAGTATATTGTTAAATAAATGTTTTAAAAAGAAAAAAAATTTTGGTAAAAATCACGACGTTACACGTACTCCAGAGGTATGCGTGGCGTTCTAGCTATCTAAGGCATCGCTGCCAGATATGCTTACGCGCAACGTACCCTTTAGAACGCTCGGTGTACCCATCAGTCCCCTTCTTAACCTATTACATGCTTATTTATTAGACTTAACACGTCTAATTGCAGATCTAAGGCTAAAATACCATCAAGAGTCATAAAGTTTCCAACTTTATGATT